TATATATATATATATATATATATATATATATATATATATATATATATATATATATATATATATATATATATATCGAATATTGAATATTGATTGTGTATTTCTTGCATCTTGACCAATATATCACAAGGTAATCTTAGCCTTTAGCTTGTTTATATTATACTTTTTAGAATAAACCATCCAATAAAAGACTGTGAGCAGAAAGCAACAATATAATTCTGTAGACTGTATAACTACAAGATCTAGCACTAGCTGGTGACGTAATGATGGCGCAACCAAAGAAACTTTACGTTTTGATACTAGAAATATAAAAATAATCTCCCCTTCATTCCCTTGCAGTGTTTTCGTAAATAAACGGAAACAATTTTCTCTAGTGTGATCATTACTGCTTTTCTCTTGAGTTATAGAAACACTAATGAAAGTTTGGGAGAACTCAGAAAAGCTGTGGAAACACAGCGTTTCTCGATCCCAAACTGTCCACACGTGTTTCTATTTAACAATTAGACTGCAAGCCCGAATTTTCAACAACAACAACAACAACAACCATTTATTAGTTGTACTCACAAACGAAAGTCAATGAGGCGTAGTCGATTTAACTATCACTCATAGAAAACTAGGGCGAGTAGTCTAATTGTTTTAGTAGACACTCTTAAGCCGGGTTACAGCACAAAAACTACAATTTATGTATTTTTAAGCCCAAAACTGAAGAGTAATTTTCAGTTTCAAGAGCAGCCGGCGCAAGAGTTGTGTATCTGCGAATAGAACACGATGATTCAGTTAAACCAGTCAGATTGGCGGATTTCCAATAGTACAAAGCCAAGTGGCAACGAAGACTCGTTAGAAACACACAAACCTAGTTTCTGTTTCGTAGATATATCTAATTATGATGTCATTGATCTTGAATTTAGACATCTTAACGTATATGCAAACTTCATTCATTTTTAGTCTCTTTCATGTATTCATAGCTACACTGTATCTAAATATACTTTTGTAAATCTCAATGTTTTTCGGCTCAGTGACTCTTGATGTTTACGTAGTGATATCACTCTTATTCTGTAAATAACCAATCTTGTTATGGTCAGTTTTGACAAGCATATGGGCAGGGCCTATGTCAGGTCAGTGTTTATATAGAGCTGTAGTTCTCCAGTCTAAGGCTAACTTGGTCTGGTAACTTGTTAAAGACGTGAGGCATAATGTTGGCGTGTAATACGCGTGTTGGAACTTTTGTCCTGTGTTTACTTATTTCTTTTACAGAGATCAGTCAAGGAAGTGAAAATCAACCAAGCAGCGTAAATGAAGGTATGTTTGGCTTGAATTATTATGAAGGATTGATTTCTGTTTGGAGATCTTCAGTGTAGTTTTTTTTAAACTGATAGTCAACTTCTTGTTCACACGCCATTTGTCTGTTGTGCGCAAATTTTCGTTTTTTGTTTCTGGTAACTAATCATTGTCTACATGTTTTTCAGATACCTTGAAGCTGTTTAGGGAACACAAATTTAGAAACAAGCGTGCTGGTTTGTATGAGTGCCTAGTTTTGTATTAAGTAGATCCAACACGTTAGCAGAATGGGTTTTATCATTGTCGATATTTTTACGAACGCTAATTGATGTATTATAGTATTCGATGATAAATCGTCGACTTTGGTATATCTTGAAATGGAATTTTAGTGGGCTCATATTCGGAGGGGTGTTTCAAGAGGTTGAAGTGTTACCGCGAGGAATTCTTTCCCAATCGATGAGATTGGGGGTCTTACCGAAGGGAAATTTAGTGTTTCAGAAATGTTTGATCTCTTAACGGATACCTAACGCAAAGAGTGACTGACGGAGAATGACTGACGCCCAAAAATCATGAAAGATGGCTAAGGATTTTCACAGAAAATGTCTGATTTGTTGCAGTATTAGGGGTAGCCTCGATCTCCAGCCGTTGTTCGGGAAACGAACCCGCACTCCTCCGCCGATCTCTTCGCGGGGAGGAACTAAGATCGATCGAAGGCGAGAGAGCAGCGGTAAACGAGCCTATATTTAGGGGTAGATTATTAGATTATTCGGGGTGTGTAAGCGCTTCAGATTATAGAAAAATCATATAACGTAGACTTGAAAACGAAAACTCGACTCCTCCATTGTTGGAAGAAAATTAAAGAACATCGAGAAGCCAAAACTCATGCATTCCCACTTCCTCCCACTCGTGAATCATCTAATGGTCGGCCCTGCCTTTGAGTTTGTTATGATTAGCTTGAATAAAAATTTCTCTCACTCGACGCACGGTTTTTAGCTCTCAGTTAGAATTTTGTCTTTTGTACATTGACAACTCTTCACCTTTAACTGTCTTTCATTGCTAGGGAACGTGCAGTGTGGCACGATAAAGGCCGGTTCCAGAATTGTAGGGGGCACAGACGCGCAACCTGGGTCTTGGCCGTGGCAAGTGTTATTGGACAATAAGGCGTTTCAGGGCCCTGTTTGGTGTGGAGGATCCATTCTTAAGCCATACTGGGTCATTACTGCAGCTCACTGTTTTAATAAGGGAAAAGATCCCGCATCTTTTAAACTGAGCGTAGGTAAGGTCACACTTCTTTATCGCATTGTAATGTCATAAAAACATCATAGTATTTTTCAAATGTTTAAGAGCCGTTTTACTTGAAAGGTTTAGATATACGTGTATATATTCTACAAGTACTTTCTACAGCTTCTTTGAACGTAGACCATCACGCGTCATCACAGTGGTCGTTGTCGATAAGAGTACAGACTACGCTAAACCACATTTCGACTTGTTCTTTACTACAATATCAACGTTTTCAGAGCGTGAACTGAAAAAGGCATTGCGTGACACATTGTCGCGAGCAGCGTTGTCTGGACTCTTATCGACCACGGCAAATTAGCCAATCACATTGCGAGATTAGTAGCAATTGTGGTAAAAATCTCATTTTGCTCTAACCTTGACAACATTTAATATCCGTTTTGTAGACTGAAAAACGTTTCTACGTTTCAGATTTATCAACGCGAAAAAATTCGAGAAGCTTAAAGGTTGAACGCGAGCCGTGAAATATTCCCATTTATGGCTCTATTCCATGGATTAAATTTGTTTTTTAACTACACGTTTTTCTGTGTAACAGGTGAATATAATCTTCGTAAAGCGGACGGAACCGAGCAAGTTATTCCAATTGACCAAATCTTCATACATCCTAAATATAAGCCGCCAGTGACTGGGCCCGACTATGACGTGGCATTGATCAAACTGAGGAAACCAATCAAGTTCAACAATGACGTAAGACCTGTATGTCTGCCCACCAAGGATTTTCCTCCTGGAACTAATTGCCATGTCACTGGATGGGGCGCTACACGGGAGGGGGGAAATATTGCACAGGTAAATATGACACGACATTCATGATAAGCGTGTGTAAAATTTAGAAATGAGTTGAGCTGGAAGAGACATTCATTTACTGCGCAAGGTATGAAGAGAATAAGATTATAAAATCTATGACACTTTATTTTTTAGATTTTGCAGCAAGCAAAAGTTCCTCTTGTAGCACGTGACACTTGTCGACGAGCATACAGCGACCTGGGATTGCCCGTTACGAAACGCATGCGCTGTGCAGGTTTCTCTCAGGGAGGAGTTGATTCATGCCAAGGAGACAGTGGAGGTCCGCTGGTCTGTCCAAGAAATAGCAAGTGGTATCTTATGGGTATCGTCAGCTGGGGCGTTGGTTGTGCGCGCCCAAATAGATTCGGAGTGTATTCTGACGTGTTGGCTCTTAAGTCCTGGGTGGAGGAAACAATGAATAAAAACCCAACTCCATAATTGTCGAGGGCAGTAAAGAGATTGAAATTGTCGGTTGAGGACTAGCTTATGTTTCACGGAAAATAAAAGAATCACGGCAAACTAATAAAAATAATCTCGCTTAACGGTTAATTATTCGGGTAAATCCCGATTTGGGTCACATTTCACGAGAAAATGTTATATTTGACGATAAAATAACTCCTAAGTAACTTTATCCTGTAAGGCTAATGCATTATGTATAAGCAATAAAAGAGGGAATGCAAAGTTTTGTCAATTGTAATCATTTTTATAATTATAGTCGACTCGTTCTACTTCCTTCGTGTAAATCTCAGGCTTCCTTCAAGCTTTCTCAGTTTTCTATTTCCAGTTTCCTTTTACCTTACAATCTGTTCCCGAATGTTGTCATCAGATATCCTTGGTGATGCTCGCAGGACTCAGTTGATCTGGGAACTGCAACTGTTCACTTCATGGAATCTCTGGCAGTTTGTTATGGTCCAAACCAAGGTCGAAATGTTTCATATATATATGAATATATGGGCGAATTTTCCCATTTCATTTACATTTCTATTCGCAGAAGCTTCTGCCTTTTCAATACTGTATGAGCAAATTTTTTGGTAGTTACGTTTGTTGCTTTCTTTGGATGTCCATCAGTTCCGTAGCTAGTAACAGACAAACCGAGGCATTTGCCTAACTCATTTTTTTTTTTTTTCGTTTTTGTT